ATGAATGACTGAATGAATGAATGAATGAATGAATGAATGAATGAATGAATGAATGAAGCTTTATTGAATCTCGGGTTGACGAGGTTGGTTAGACCTCTAGCAAAAATATGCTAATAAGCCGAGAAAAAAAAATAAATAAATAAATAAAATATAATAGAGAAAGAAAGGGAAATCCAAAAACTTATATACAGTATAAAACCTAAAATTACGTAAGACAGCTATTTACAATAAAAAGCCTAATTACATAATAGAACATATTAGATATTATTGAGAATTAGCTAGAACCTTAGCTGGGGGACTGCTTTTTTAAAAGCTAACAATGTACTTTAGGGTTTCCTTCTGAACTATCAGTTGCCATAGACCTTTTCACAGTTTGTTTTTTTTTTTAACTTTTTATATGGCCTAGCTAGCGCACATACGTCGACACTACTGAAAAAAACGCCTTGAAATAAGTAAAATTATCAAATTTGAAAGTGATACGTCTTTAGAGGGCGAAGATGCAGCTCCGAAAAGTTGCGAAAATTTACAGACGTTTGTACGGTGGGGAGGGGGGGAGCAAGTTTTTACCCCCACCATACAAACGTGTCAAAAGTTGGAAAGAACCGTGAAATTAGGTCTCTTTTTCTACGGACACTTAAGCAAAGTGCTCTCTTTAGAATGATTTTTTTTTACAAATTTAAATTAGTATTATTATAGTACGAGTCAGGAATTAAGACAGTTTTATTCTCATTTGTTTTTAGGCTATTCGGGTGGGCCTCTTCTTTTATTGACATATTTGGCATGGATTCGGGGACAAGATTTTAAAAGGTTTTTTTTTCTTCGTTTGTTATAAGTAGACAGTTGGTATTGAAACTCTCAAAAGAGACGAGATTCACAAGGCGGTATAAAACTAAGTCAAATTCTTTTTTTCAAACTTTTACAATGTTCGGTGAAAGGAGCAATTATCAGAGATCATATTTTCGTTTGGCGAGGTAAAACTAATAAACTTGTATTCCACAAATCAATTAACCTTAGAGCACATTCATGTGACTTTTGAGGGAAAGGCTAAGTGATTTTAGAGAAAAAATAATTTGCAAACAGTCCAAGCTAAGAGTGAACTTATTCTTACATTGAGTTGATAGCCTTATATGTACACCCCCAAAATAGCATAGCCATAATGGCTCTTGATCACAGTAGACTAGGCCTGCAAAACGAATTCTTGGGAAACAAATGCAAGGCGAAGTAAGCTTATTAAGAGTAGCTTATTTCTGAAAACGATGATTCCCAATTTGTTTTTGTCGTGCAGTGCATTTCTCAACCACAACCCAGTAAACAAGCCAGCCAAGAATAGCAAAAGAATGTTGATAGGAGCTGTATTTCATTTTGTAAATCCAGTGCAAAAAGAGACGTAAAACATCACAAGATGACTCAAAACTCCGTCAGCTTCAGCTATCAGTGAACAAGTCGCCGATGCTGCATAAATTTTCCACTTGAATCCTCTTCGCTAGCGTGCCTGTTAATTTTTATACTCTATGCCTTTCTCTTCTTTCTCTTTCCCGAATTCAATCCGCTATTGTTTGTTGCTATAACAATTTTTTCGAAACAGTTTACTCGAAACTGAGCACTACGGTCACAAAATCCTTAAGCAATGAAGTAGTTGAAGTAAACATGTTTTTGAACGCGACGACATGCAGCCACGCCATTTCTGTCGCGATTTCCCGCCAAGAAAAAGGCGGGTTGCACAAATGCATCGCGCAATTTATAACATACTCCTCCCCCGGACGGGCTGACACCTGATTCTCTTCCCTCCCCCGCAAATAGTGTACCGGCGTACGCTACGTCATAACCAAATTTTCTCGGATGGATGGTTTACCAAATTTTCTTACCCATGGTGCTCCGCTGGCGCGCTTCGTGCGCCGGAGCTCCGCTATTAATAAAGCGTGATACTTTCTGCTTCTGCATTTTTACGGGGAAGCTGATGCATGTTACTTAACGTTGAGAATATGTAGCGCAAAGAAAGGTGCTACCTTTGAAACCGTTTTATATGGAAAATAATATATAAAATGTATAAAAGACAATTATAAAATCAAAGGACTAAGGAACTAGATAGCTCTCGCTTAAAAGAAACTATGTTTATCGCTATTATCAGAGAACCTGAAAGGCCAGTTTTTTCACTATTGTTGAAAGCTTCTTTTAAAAAATTCAGTTTGAGGTTTATAAAGAGGGAGATTGTTGTTAGTACTCTGAGTTGATTCGAAAAGCCTTTCTATGAACTTGGGAGCCTTGTGATTCAGTATATATTGAATTGACATGACGGATACTGATGCAATTTGGAATAAATGGTATTTAATTAACATGTTTCAAAAAACTTTCATCATCTTTCCGTTCAAACGCTCTGAACTCTCGATAAACTGGATTTCATTCAACATATGTTGAATGCATATGATTGTTGAGGCAGGCTCAAACCCTATTAATTAACAATTAATGAATGAGGCTGAGTATCTCATGAAGAATTATGGAGATCGAGGAGGGTGTTATCCGTCGAGGCCGTAAGCCAAGGCGGATAACACCCTCCGAGATCTCCATAATTCTTCATATGATACGAAAGCCGAATTCAATAATTGTTTTATTATTCATTCAAAATAATTCCTAGTTTAAAAACATGGCTAAAACATGCTTACCTCCATCGATCTATCGATAGTCAACGTTTAGGTTTGTCCAGCTCCGCAAATATTCTCCAAATAGCAGATGTCGCCCTTCGAGTTGTCTTCTTGCTGTTTTTGCCATGTTTTTAGCTATTTTTTTGCCTAGTTCTTACTCTTGAAACGAGTGAAATGACCGCCATTTTTGTTTCCACAACCAAAACAACTCAACCTCGTCCCCAGGTCTTCTCGGTTAACGGTGCCTTAACCTGCACGAACGCTGCATTTTTGACGTCATTTCCTCGTTAAACACAAAATTCTTCCAAATTTGGTCATCAGTAACTGGTTGTGGTGAATTAAACGTGTGCTTTTAGCCAATCAAAATCGGGGAAATATTTTGAATTAATAATAACAGGCCCTAATGATCACACTCAACTGTTGAAATAGAACGGAAAGTAAAATGCAATCAGTAAAATACCATGCTTTACGTGGGGGAGGGGGGTGGAATTTAACCTTCGCTATTGCGATGACCAAATGAAATATTCTATCCAGGCCAAAATCATTCTCAGTCATTTAATTGAAATTAATTAAAACTGTTAATCGTACCTTCTCTTGTGTTCTCTGAAGTTTGCTTGAAAAATATTGAGAATTCATAAAATGAGGAAAAGGAAGATGATAAATAAAATGGCTGAAATCTTCCCAGGTTTTGGTGTTTGTTAAAAATGAGTCACTTTTAAAAAACATGGCTTACCATCGGCCACACAATTAGCTGAAAAACTTGAAAATGCAGCAACATAACCATTAAGGTCCATTTGACCGTGACAAAATGACTCGACCTAATAATGTAGTGACACCAAGAAAGAACAGAATTGCCAGCTCAGCGATAACCCAATTTGGTTTTTTTCCTTCGCCGAATTCAAACGACTCCGTGCTTTCGAGTCGGAGTTGTATCATCTGGTTGACTTTATCGAACCAGGGTAATGCACATGCTCAAATGAAGTAATTCAAAATGGCGTAGAAGCTGCAGACAATTACAACAATAACAAAAAACTTGCTGAAAAGGTCACCCTTGACTACCACAAGATAACCAAGTTCCACATGATTCCCAAGTCGAACGTAAATAAAACTTTATAGTAGATCCAACTCGTTTCTCTTTCTACCTTCCCACAGTTAGAGCCCGCACTTTTCCATTGACAGGTTTCGAATGAAACAATTGGATTCCGCGACGTTTTAGACAATCCCGGCAGATAAAAAGATTCAAGCGAACATCGAAACTGAAAAGTCGAGAAAAGTTAGAGCATGCAGTGCTAACGTTCTATTTAACTTATTTGCAAGAAATCTTTTTCTCGAAAAAAAAAGACATAATAGACCTTTTTACCGATACGGCGGCCATATTGAATTAATTCGACTTAAGGAGTATTATAGGATGCCCAGGGGGGGCATGAGCACATTTCGTTTGTAGTTTTGAGCGCTTTTCGGGACATTTTTCTTTACAGTTTTCTTAAAATAAGATTGTAATGGGAAAAGAGATCCTTGTGCCGTGTTTGGATGTAATAATGATCGCCTTTTTCTTGTTTAGTATTAGAAATATGGTCTTTCACTGTATATTTCTCTGGAAAAAGGCGATCGAAAAGCGCTCGAAAATACAAACGAAATGTGCTCATGCCCCCTGAGCATCCTATAATACTCCTTAAATCGAATTAATTCAATATGGCCGCCGTATCAGTCAAAAGGTCTATTATGGTTTACCGCAATTTAGACTTCAAAATTCGTATAAATCCCTTGAAGAGTAAAGATGATTATTTTACAAGTCTTTACAATTACAATAGTTTATTATCCCAAAACATGAATTTACGAAATTGAAATGATTTAAACACATTAAACGAGAGACAAGTTATGCAACAAGAGCAACTGCATGATGAGTTTGATGTAATTCAGTTCAATCATTTCTCATTAACGTCATATTTGCTAGGCTTCAGAAAATAACATGGAAAATTTTTTCCTTGGAATATTGTTAGTTGATGATATCACGGTGTTAAGCAAATGAATAAATTGAAAAAAAAAATACAGTTTGCGCAGCTGTTCATCCAATATAGGTTCCCGTCAATTAACTGAGCACTGTTATTATTGGTAACCCGTTGTTACTTCACTCAGTACGAAAAAAGAGTTCGAAAGAATTGCTTCTTGCGACTTCAGCGTTTCTTGGTAAGTAAATCTTATGTTTTCCTGTTGCCAACAACCTCTCATCTTTTTCACAGACATATGGGTACCTTTGGACATAAGGGGCGATAAATTACCTCTCTTAAAAATTATTTATATCCCTATTAGTTGGCTGTCCTAACATTGTTACACACCCACTTGAATTGCATTGCATGGATGAAAGACAAAGTTAGACATTTAATAACAGAGGCGTCATAGCCAGTCCATAGACCTGTAGGCCCGGGCCTACTCTTTTTTGGTTTGATCACCCAACCACTTGTAATAAATTATCCGTTTTGGGGGTTAACTAAACAGCTTAAGAGCTCAAAGTGTTGGTGAGGTCAGTGTGCACTAGTCATGCGTGCAATTTTCAGGATATGTGGAAATGAAAGACAGCCAGCTGGCCTACAACTAGTCGTAAAGTTGGCTACCGCGCTGAATAACACCAACAACGGTGCCATGTGTTTTGAAACCTTTGTACTTAAGTTCAGTCTCCGCAATGGCGTTGTTCAAAAATGACAATCGTCCCCTCGAAATTGTTCACAGTAACTGTAGATACATAACGACACTTAGTATGTTGGTGTTGACGAGGCTGTTCAGTCCACTCTGCCCTGCGACTATGAACAACGTCTACAGTATAGTCGTATTTTACCAATCTCAAAGCGCAAAATATGATTTGAACGCTAAAAAGTTTAAAAAGCAGAATTTATCATAAATCAAATACTCCAAATCAAAGTCTTATTTTATTCATAAAAGAAAATAATAATTCCGATCAATGTGCGGTTCTGTGTTAATTATTCAGTGACCCTGGTTCCAATGTAAGCCTTGTTACTTCTTAAGTTTTCGAAAAAATATAGGTTTAGGCCTTTTAAGGGTCTCGTAGGAGTCTTTGCCATCAATCGCTGGCTTAAGAATGAACTAATATCTGATATGGGGAGTTCATCAGGAAAGATCTTACATTATACCAGTTTTCAGAAAAGAAAAGTAGCATCAATATTTTTCAAGTTTCACGACATACTGAAATCAGCTATAGTTCATCAAAACTTCCTCTCACACGTCAAACTACGTCTTTAAAAAGAAAATGGTCAGATCATACAGTTTGACAAATATCCAACGCAAAAAAGTAAAATATCTGACCTTCCACTATTGTATTCAAATCATTTGGAGCGTTGGAAGAATAAATTTCACAGACTAGAATTTTGCAAGGCTACGGAGTATTTCAGGTGCATATTTAACACTTCGATAATTCTTTTCCTGATAAGAAAATAAAATTATCAGTAACATCCAATTGATAATTTTCACCACTTTCTTTAATTTTCCAAGTTCTCAAATATTTGTATTATCTGGATTTATTCAGCAGGCGCCTATCAAGCTTTATAATGAGCTTTTACTGTCGTAAAACCTGATTTGAATATTGAAGATCATAACAGCTGCAAAAAGTCGTTCGCTCCAGAGATCTATCAGCTGAGCGCATCCACCAGGCAACTTTCGTGTGAGCTAGGCACCAGCTTACTTGTGATTTCAACCGAACTCTTGCGCTGCGCGCTCGCCGATTTTGAAATCACGCGTATGATTTCACACCAAATTGCACCCCTCTCAGTTCAATTAACATTATTTACGTTAAGGTCATTACATTGTCATTAAGCCTCTGTTATAAGTTAAATTATATGCAAAGAGAAATTAGATCTGATATTCTTTATAGACTTCTCGGTTACAAAGTTTATTGCTTTGATTAGGGGGGATGAGAACTGAATATGGGTTTGTATCGATTAATCCTTAATTTTACGAGGAACAATGTGATATTTTGTTGTTATCACCAAGAGGAAAAAATCACTTAACAAGATCGGCTATGAGGAGGAGACATGACTTCCCAACAACCTTCAACATTCAAAATGTCTCGCTTTTTTTTGTTCAAAGAAATTGATCGTTCATGTTGTACGTTTCCTCTCGGAGCGATTTTCAATAAATCTAAACACAAACTGATTGTGTTTAACATGAACCACAGTTTTCTTTCTTCTCTTGGCAATATCTGGAAACGGATAATACCCAAGAAAGGAATTCTTTACTGGTGAGAAAGAAAAGAAAACAGCTATTTTGAAACAAAACTTGAATGAACCGAAGCGGAAATGGAGTTTGTGAGCACTGACGACGTTAGTAGTGGTGTCTGATGAGAATTAGCAGCTTTGGGGGTAGCAAAAGGGCAGCAAAATTTAATAAATAGCTAATGTGTAAAATGCGCGGGAAACTTGTTTAATTTATGCTAACCATGTTTAGGCAAGTACTAGTAATGGCGTCACAGCACCATCAGGTCCATTTGACAGTTTAGCAAGCCCATAAGAAACGGCTTATGTCTTCTATTTAGTGCTAAAAATTGGATATATATAAAGAAAACACACACACATACAGAAAGTGGAGCTCAAAAGTCTTTATCTCAATTTTGTCTGACTATCACAAAACCGTTCTCTCCTTTCTATCTCGAAGAGACCACTAACTATTGAAGTCTCAGTGTTTCACGAGCCCTAAGTCAGTTAATTATGCGAGTTAACAGGCCCACATTTGCATACAAATTAGTTCAGCTCAGTAATAACCCCATAAAAACACAAAAAAACAATTAATAACTTGACAAGGATCAATTGAAACACGCAACTAATCAATAAACATTCCCAATAAAACCAGACACGTTTCTTAAGACACAAGAAATCAACTTTATGACCCTTTATTAAAAAGATTGCAAAAAAAATTAGATTAAATATTTTATTAAAATAGTCAAAAAAGGGAAGCTATCGTTTTTTTTACACTGCGCACAATGTTTTACTTACCCTCCTCCCTTTCATTTTTATTTTCCTCCTCATCCATAATTTTTCTTATTTTCCTTCCTCACTTTTTTTTCCCTCCTCCACAATTTTATTATTTCCTCTTACTCCACCACCACATTTACTCTATATATTTTTCCATCCACAAAAAAATCGACCTTATATCGACCCTACAACGACCCTAGACTCAACTTTGTTTTTCAACACAGCTGCGTGAATAGTGAAACTATATACAACCACCACCACATTTCTACTGTTTTCTCTCCACCACCGCCACCACCACATTTCTATTGTTTACCTCTACCACCACCACCACCACATTTTTATTGTTTCCCTCCACCACTACCACCACATTTCCATTGTTTCTCTCCACCTCCACCACCACATTTCTGTTGTTTTTACTCCTCATATTGTTTTGTTATTTAGAAGGTCACAGGTCAGACACAGACTAATAAAGGCAACCTCAGGCCAAATAGGCCAAACTCAAATAACAAAACAATAGAAGAGAACAATAGAAATGTGGTGGTGGAGGAGGGAAACAATAGAAATGTGGTGGTGGTGGTAGAGTAGAAACAATAGAAATGTGGTGGTGGAGAGAAAACAATAGAAATGTGATGGTGGTTGTATATAATTTCACTATTTTAATTGCCAACGAGGCAACCGAGCTAAGAAGCCAGGTTGCCTCGGCGGCAGAATTATAACGCCGCGCAATATGGGCAAAAACTCTCAAATTCTGCGTAACCCTCTAAAATTTGCATTTTTGACCATATTTGGGTGTAAGTAAGACCCCATATTTGGGTAGTGACGCCATGGTCTTATATTTACAACTCGTGGTCCGAAATTGGGAGATTCAGTGTGCAGCTGTTCCTTGTCTGTTCAAGAGGACCCAACAGGTGAGCAAGAGTTAATACAATTTCTAGTTTGAAAGGGCAACAGGTGCATTGATTTGGTTTATAAATTGCCTTTAAAGCAGCAGCTGATCAAGGAATAGGGTTTTAGGCTCAAATGTTTGTCAGAACCAACTTGTTCTTTGCAGCTCGACTTACACTGAGGTAGCGTGTTCGCTTCTCGACTCAGAACCAAGGTTTCAGTGTTCTCTTTTCCTTTTTGATTTGAATTTTTAAGCAGTAGTTGATCAAGGCATAAAGTTATATTCGCAAAACTTTTATCAGAACATGCGTGGTCTTTGCAGGTCGACTTACATTAAGCCAGTCCTCACCTCCAGTGAATACAACGTATTTGCAGACATTTGTTTTTTTGGAATTTATTTATGTCTTTCGGGAGATTTTGTCAACCAGCATGCTTTTTGCAGCTCCATTTACATTGAGACAGCCCTAAACTCCCGTGAGGAATGCATCGAATTTGCAGACCTTTTGTTTTGAAGACTATCATTATGCCTTTCGAGAGACTCTTTGTCCCGTGACATTGGCTCATTAGGTCTTTGTATTTTATTTAAGTTTATCAGATTTTTATACCTCTGATACATTCCGCTCCATTCTTGCGCTTTTGACACATTTTACTTTACACCAATTTTTTCCTATGTATATTACCGCGCGAAATATTTTTCTTATCCCTGATGACACTGTTGCTCGAAATTTAATTATTATTTTTTTAAATTCAGCAGTCAAAGGCCTCGTTTGAACTATATTTTTCTTTCTAACGTTTATAGTTTTGATACAATGGAATTTTCCATGAAATAGTAGTGCTAACTTGTTCATATTTACCAACAAAGCTTCAAGCCCTGTTGTTATTGTTTAATAAAAGTGAAGCCTAGAATGTACCAAAGTTATTGTTTCAAAGTTGGGTGCCATAAAGCGGAATCCATTTTAAACCTCTAAAATTATGAAAGAAATCGCAAAGATCTCAATAGGCACGTTCCACAAAAGATAAACGAATTCGCCTCGTTGACACTTGCCGGAAGGTACCCCTAGTAGAATATTTAATCTATTAATTTTTTTGCAATCATTTTTTAATAAAGGGTCATAAAGTTGATTTCTTGTGTCTAAGAAACGTGTGTGGTTTTCTTTTAATTGTTTTTTTGTGTTTTTATGAGGTTATTACTGAGCTGAACTAATTTGCATGCAAATGTGGGCTTGTTAAGGTGGCTCGATACAGTTTTTCAAGGCCAATACCTCCCAAGTTTGAGCATAAACTACGTCGCCATAAACAAAGTTTTGGAAAAATTGCCCCCACAGTTGTATTAGATAAAGATGAAAATCTTTTATGATCAGGGTTGCAATGACATCGGAGTTGTCATAGCAACGAAATGACGCTATTATCTATTTTACTTACAGAAGTATTTCTCGGCACTGAGAACTGTTCTTCCAAAATTATTCACGGGAGCTTTTTCCTCCGATAGCCGCCTCGATGTTCGTGAAGTTTAAGCGAAATCTGTAAGAGCGTTATCGAGATATTTTGGGATCAAGATTTTGTGGTTAGAAATACGGTAAAAAATGGATAATCTTGATGTTCGGCTGTTATCTGTAGAAAATGAAGCGCTTTTGACATGCAATTTCATCTGATAGTAGTTTCAATCTTTTTAAAAACGTATGTGAAAGACCGTGGAGATAGCTCCAGCCGATTGCTAGAAAGAAGGATTTGATTAGTATGTATCGAGGCGCTTTTGTTAGCGGTTTTTGAACATGTTGGTCTACTTTAACAAATTAGCGAATAATTTTTAAACCGCTCGAAAGATTTTTTTAAAAAAATAAGATTCAATTTTTCCAAAACTTTGTTTATGGCGACGTAGTTTATGCTCAAACTTGGGAGGTATTGGCCCTGAAAAACTGTATCGAGCCACCTTAACTCGCATAATTAACTGAGTAAGGGCGCGTAAAACGCTGAGACTTCAGTAGTTAGTTCTAGTGGTTTCCTTGAGATAGAAAGGAGAGAACGGTTTTGTAATAGTCAGAAAAAATTGAGATAAAGAGTTTTGAGCTCCACTTTGGGTATGTAGCTGGTATGTGTGCTTGTTTTCTTTATATATATCCAATTTTTAGCGATAAATAGAAGACATTAGCCGTTCCTAATGGGCTTGCTAAACTGTCAAGTGGACCTGATGGTGTTGTGACGTCATTATTAGTACTTGCCTAAACATGGTTAGCACAAATCAAACAAGTTTCCCGCGTATTTTACACATGAGCTATTTATTAAATTTTGTCCAAAAAACTGCTAATTCTCTTCAGACGCCACCACTGAGGTTGAAAAACGTCATTTATGGCAATCAAAAGGCCTGGCTCCTTCGGAAGCGAAAAACAGATTTCCCCGACAGAACGTCCAATTTAATTTTTTGAGTAATAAGAAACTAGAGGGGTCAAAGTTGTGAAAGGAGCCGAACTCTGCAAACTTTCAAGTGAAACATATGACGGATACCTGAGGTGGGTCTTCCTAAAACCCTGTTTCCATATGATCGCCACGATCGCTGCGGTCGCTGAAAAAATAGTTTCAGTGATCGTTGCGATTGATATGACCGCTGCGATAGCTACTATCCCTGGAGAGTAGTTTCCATATGATCACTACGATAGCTTAAGTTTTTTTTCAGCAATCGAAGCAATCGTATGGAAATCGGGCTTAAGCGTTATTTGTCCGTTATTTGTTCTTCAAAAAAATAGTCGTTCAAAACAATTTTGATAAAATGAGTCTGGGATCCAACTGGTTAGCCGTAACTTCAACTTTAACCTTGGTCAGCAGTGCGTGTTCCGTTCTGACAGATGTCTGATTGACTTTAAAAAGAAAGTCATGTATATTACAAGGAAAATGCCGGCTGGCTTATTTCGACACTAACCCTAGACCTGGTGAGTGTAAAATTTCCCATTGCCTTCTCTGTGGTGTGAACAAAGGGACAGGGACGCTTTCTTCACCCAATACCTAATCTCCTTTTCAAAGTCCGCTTTGCTGTTTCAACACGCATGCGAAATTAACTGTTCTCATATTCTCTTTCTCTCTCCTTAATTACAGAGCCACTAACAAGAACGCACTGGCTGGAATCATGTTTCTCTCGACAGTGTTCACTTTGTTTTGCCTCATGGCGTCAGTTCCATCACGTTGTGTAAGTGAATCTAACGATCAACTTTTCTCAGGCCGAACACCTTTACATCGAACGCGAGAGAATTACCGCAAGGCGCCATGAGGGGACCCCTCGAGTATCTGCCTACCAGCCGGAGAGTCGCTTCTTATTCTTAATTACTTTTATCTTACATTTACTTATTTTCATTCTTATTTACTGGTTCGTTACTTATTTTACTCTTATCCGTTCTACCCGTTTCTCTTCATGAGTCACTGATTGACTCACTCATTTTTACTTAATTATTTCTATCCATGACGAACTCATTTCAAATCCAATCTTACACATTTTTACTCGGTTTTAGGTGTAGTTTATTTCAAGCCATGTAAGGAAAACCAAAATGAAATTAAGAGATGCGAGAAAAAATAAAGTTAAAAAGCCAATCTTGTCAACGCACCTGGATATTGAGGATATTTTTCTCTGCATATTCCAGTAAATATCTGTAATTTATTTTATTGTAATTACAAATTACTGTAGAATCAAGATCTCTCGAACCCTCGGTTTTTCGAACCTCCTGTCAGATCAGCGCTAACTTCCCTTTCCTACTCAAGCTCTATAATTAATTCCCTCTCCGATTTTTTTCGAACCTTCCAGGGAAAGGAAAGCATAAGCTCGAATCGATCATCGGAAAGAGATGTAAAAATTAGAGATAAAATGACAGAGTAAGAGGAGGAGTCAGTTTTAGATCAGCAAATCGGGATTTTTATGCATGTCCACTCAGTAAAAATTGTTGCCGTGGATGCTCAAAAAAGCAAAACAAATTTACTTTTCTAGTATCCGGCAAATATAGATCTCATTTTTGTACATTGGAGTTGCTCAGTGCAAAACAGAGGAAATAACCTGGTTATTCACGACTTCAAATTCTTATCCTTGTTTATTTGTAATAGCCAATTGATTCGCCATGAGTTAGCTGGGATTCTTAGCTTGTCTCCAATGTTTGAAATTTCCTTAACAGGGAGAGGAAAATTAAATATTCATTTATTCATTTATTAATATCTATTATTTATTTTGTACTAACATTGATCCTTTAACAGCAGAACGTTGTGCCATCAGCTCACATCGAGGGCGGGGATCCAAGACCTGTGTACTATCCTGAAGACACAGGTAGCTTACATACGAAACCTCTTTAAAAGTAACCAAACCCTACCTTCCGCAGAAGAAACTAAAAAAATCCAACTTAACGAAATAATTAATGTCAAAAACAGAAGAAATATAGCTGCCTGGCCTGTTCGACATACATCCAGCAATTACGTAAATTTTACACGCGTTAATAAAATAGAGGCAATGTATGGAAGATCACATGTAATCGTAAAAGTTGCCTGAACTCGCTCAACTTTTACCTTTACGCGTGGCCTCTCACACGTTGCCTCTGTTTCATTTAAGCGCGTAAATTTTACGTGCGTTCGCCCGGAAAAATTATGCGACAGTGAAAATCAACCCTAAGGAAGTCAACATGTACGCGAGATCACGCTAAAGCTACCAAGACTAACCGTTACTTACTCTAACATTCTGGGGGAAACGAGCCAGCGCATGGCTTTCGTAGAAGGGTTTAAATTAATAATGGTAATCGAACTGAGTGGAGTATATTAATTTTGCCTCACATTATAAGTCAATGGTTTTAAAATCATCAATGAGCGAGCTTCGAGCGCACGGCGCGAGTTTGATTTGAAATCACAAGTAGAGGACTGCTGACAATTGCACGATACAAAGTTCAATAAACACTTCATTTGCATTGCACCTCGTGACTCTGTTCGTAATTTAGGGGTTCAGTTTGATAGCATATTTAGTTTTGAGGAGCACATTAAGAACATTTGTAAATCATCATTCTATCATTTGAGAAATATTGCTAAAATCCGCAAGTACTTAAGCCAAGATACATGTGAAATCTTAGTCCATGCATTTATTAGTTCGAAACTTGATCACTGTAATTCCTTATTACATGGCCTTCCTAAGTATCTGTTAGCTAGACTACAGGCAGTTCAGAATGCTGCAGCTCGTGTTGTCACACTGACACCGAAGCATGTTCATATAACTCCTATTTTAATTAATCTTCATTGGTTACCAGTTGAGTTTAGAATAACTTTTAAAGTCCTTTTATTGGTATACAAGGCCCTTCATGGCCTTGCACCTTCTTATATTTCTGACCTTTTGAATTTTAAAACATACTCTAGGTCATTGCGTTCTTCATGTAAAGAATATTTAGTGGTTCCAAGAAGCAGATTGAAAACATATGGAGACAGAGCTTTCTCTATTGCAGGACCTAAATTGTGGAACGATTTACCTCTAGAGATTAGGAAATGTGCTTCAGTGGCAACTTTTAAGCAATCCCTTAAAACTTTTTTTATTTAAGTTAGCATATAGGTTATGAGATTCCTTTTGTTTTAAGATGTTTTTGATTTATATAGTAGATAACTTAGGTGATATTTGAATTATATTGTATATTGTAGATATTTTATAATTTAGATTTTTTTTTATATTCTTTTTTGTAATTAGGTAGCGCTTTGGACAATTATTGGATTTTAGCGCTATATAAATAAAATTATTATTATTATTATTATTGTTATTATTATTATTATTAACGCCATTTTAAATTCTCATAATTTAGTTGCAGTGCAAAATATTTTATTGATTTAGTTATCGGTTTTGTTGAAAATTAGAATAGGAACGCTTTTACACCTGTCATTTTTAAATGCGAAACAAAAATAATGCGCATAGAGCACAAATGATGCGATCTAGAACCACTTTATCACTTACTGATAGAAGGTAGAAGGAATCAAAACAATTTTTTTTTAATTTATCTCCTCTTTTTTAGCCATTAGTGCGTGGGACCTAAGCCATGCCAACAGCCACATTGCCGGTGGATTTGAGTTCGGCGGCTCTCAGTTAATTGTACCTGTTAGCGGCCGGTATTATGTTTATACTCAGTTGTACTTCAATTCTGAGCCCATGGCTACCAGAAATCGTGTGGGTGTATTCACTGGCCAGAGACTTCTGCTAATGATCCACAAGCCCATGCAACCCAGCACTGAGGAAACAGCCTCGGCAGGAGGAATTTTCAAGCTAAATCAAGGGGAAAGAGTGTTTGTGAAACCTTTCAAGGGCTATGGTTCCGTGAAACTATGGGTCGGGCCTAATCACACATATTTTGGCATGTATAAAGTCGACTGATCACATTAATTTTCAGATAAGGCGTTATAATATGTATCAGTAAGATCATAACTTACGAAAAGTAATAACCTAGACGAGAGAACAACAGTATATGAAATCTTTACGTAATATACAATTATCTGACAATGTATACAGACGTTGCCAAGTTGAGAAAATTAAAGGTACGCCGTTCTGAAATTTCGTGTGTTAATATGATCGATCGAGTCACCGGCCTTAATACAACAAGAAAAAAATGTCAAGATAATCATGCATTCAAGGAGAAATTGTTTCTGTTCTAAGTACTTTGGGGAAAAATAGTCATGGTTTCCGTACATGTAAAACTACGAGTCAATATTCCAGCCATAAATATAGAACGTTTTTTACATGACGTCACGGCGCTCATTTTGGTGTTCCAAACAAATCCTGTGGGAGTTGAACTCTTTTCTAATGTAAGCGCTTTCTTTTGTCCCAATGAATTTGTATAGCTGGCCACTTGAGTAAAAACGCTCTATAGAATACTTCATAGCTGTGCATGTTGACGTATCAGAAATCTCACTCGTTCGATTTCTGATACAAAAACAAGTGCGTAAACACCGTACAAAGCACTTTCCATGTGGTATTGTGTTTATTATATTATACATACTGAGACATTCTGATCATCATTTCGCCAGCCTTTTATTTCAAATCTTTCCAAAATCCAATAGGCTTGATTTTTACAAAAACCTCTATTAAGCGGTCACCTGGCTAATTCCCGAGGGTGACCGCTTAATAGAGGTTTGATGGTATCTGGAAACATCTAACATCCATGCCAGCCGCGTTTTGGCAACCACTTTTTTTTCAAAATTTGCTCTTTTCATCTAAAAAATTAATTATTTATATTTATTTTCAATAATTGCATTTGAGCATTACCCTTAATTCAGCAATATTTTATTATATTTATTATAACTGTTAGTATAATCCAGGCTCTTAAATGATTGATTTGAGAAAAAAATATTGTTATAACTAAGGTTTTTTGCTTTCTAATCATTGTTTTATGCGCAGATCAATTTTTCTATAACGATTACCTCGATTTATGCGGGTTTCAAGAAAAATGGAACACAATTAATTTAATTAAAATGGCGGATGGTTCTAGATCCTTTTTTAACAATGAATCACGTTATCATGACATCACCGCTATTGTTTAAGATAATTAATGTGTTTTGCCAGCTTCTTGATTTTGTCAGACACCTTACTATTTAAGTATCTTTTGCTTTGAGGGAAATATTATGGAACTGGATTTTGTCAATAAATTCCACAAAATGACTTCATAGGGACATCAAATTACGCCATTGTGTCAATCAAGCTATGCCTGGATGTTGCAAATAAAGAGTACATTATTCTGTGTTATTGTGGTGGCACATCATGAGCGGCTTTGATATAAATAATCTTCAGCATCATCATCATAAAACATCTTCAAGTTTAACAATAAACTATTATTATTAAATACATCATTATCAAAATTATTATTATTATTGTTGTTGTTGTTGTTGTTGTTGTTGTTGTTGCTGATGCTGCTGCTGCTGTTGTTGTCGATGATGATACTTATTATTGGGTTTATTTGTCCTCCGAACATCCATTTCAAGTTTATTACAAAGTGCGACAGGTATTGCAAAGTGCGATAATTTTATTATAAAGCGACGATTGTTACAAAGTGCGACAGAACACGCCCGTAAGGCAGTCTTCGATCTCGACAATCTTACAGAAAAATAGGAGACTGTGAAGACTCTACCCGAAGCGAGGGCGCTGCAAGGTGCAGGCGCCTACAAAAAGCAGGAATTTTAGCGTCAAACTCACATACCTTTGTGGTTTAGTATTAGACATATCATTTTTCTCACAGGTTAAAAAACGTCGTTCGCGATTCTGATTGGATGTATCGTTATATTTACGTGTGAAAAACATCGTTCGTCCCTCTGATTGGCGAAAGCTCTTTTGAGTATGGAAATTTATCAAATGATCCGTACGGCTCCGCTCGCAATTTCGTTGGAAAACCATATGAAACAAAAAAAGTCCCTTAAGATCAGGGCCGCTCGCGTCACGTGGTAGGGCTGGGGAAAACGCTTACGGCCCTGCTAGAAAAGCCAACTGTTTGATGCGGATTCGCTCCGTCAGAAAAATTCGAAAAACAAAACCATCATACGAAGCTATACGATAAAATACTTCGACTGAATGTGAGTTAATTCGGGTCGGACGGGAAAATATTTGGCTCTCGGTGCAGCTGACCTGCAATGACCTTGTGCCAAATATTTTCCACTTCGGTCCTCCCACTCAGTCAATAAGTACATATATCAACATAACTTTTTAGTGAGTATATCTCAGTACGTATATAATAAATAAGTTAACGTTCAAGCACTTTTAAAGCAAGCCTAGTTTTTTGTAGACTGCGAAATTGTTTTTTATTTTTATTATTTCCATTTTTCTTTATTATCAAGGAAATAAAGATCAATAGAATGCAAAAGGAAATCAGTAATCAGTGTGTCATGCACACAGCTTTAATTTACAAATGTCTCCAGTTTGGAGAGAAAAAGCAAAAGATTGGGTAAACTTTTACTACGTCATTTCATTTTCTTTCTTCTATTCTTTGTGTTTATGTTGCCTAATTTTTATTCCCGCTAAACTGCTAGATTGATAGGTCATATAAGTCATGGAATTTTTAAGCTATTACTAAGGTCTTTGAGGTGAATGCTTTAACGATACGGTTAATATTTTGGCGGTTACATCGCTAACCGTTAATTTTTACTCCTTTCTCACTCTGTGTAGCAAAATCTTCACAATAATATTATATTGGTTCAAAAAGCAAAAAATAATAATAACAATAACAATAAAAATAGTCAGTTTTCAGTTTCAGTTGGTAGGACCCTCCTGAGATGAAAAATGTTATAACAGGTTCCAAGGAGACAAGACACAACAGGAAAACTATGATGTTATAAACATCTTCACGTTGCTATGGAAACCTTAAATTTCATTACTAACAACTTTCCAAAACACTGCGAGAAGTAGTTGATGCCTTTATCGTTTCCATGCGAACGAATAATAAGGAGGAAATATAACCAAACGTTTCATTAGTCTCCATGGTAGCCATACATCAGCATTTAACACAACTTAAACTTCAAAGACACCGCTTCTCATTGATTGGCTGAATTGTCCCTGATCATCACTTTGAAGAAAACAGTTTATTCTGTGACGTCAGATGCGCGTTATGTTTCTAAGGAATTATGTTTTTTGATTGGTCAGCACAAGATAGCATTGGTATCAGATACGATATATATCGATGTTACGATCATAAATATCTGTTCAGCCAGAGGATTTGCTATTTGTTGTATGAACGCTTCCGGTAAAAAAAAAAAGATGAGTTTTGTTTGGAAAACCGACGCAAATTTTGAATACTTGCTTGTTCCTAATGCCAGCTGTCATTTCGAAAGTGGTAAGTTCTTTCAGAATTTTTCATAATATAGTAATTTTCCGGATTGCCGTGAAAAGAATTAAAAATATAAAGTGTTTGAAAAATACAGCTTTTCTGTCTATATAAAGAAGACTGAGTTTTTATGGTATACGGGAAACACTATTATAAAAGAAAGGTTAAAAATTAAATTTCTTTTAAAAGTAATTGCTAGTTTACACCTTTTTAAACCAAATTGCACGTATGTTGCTCAAAGTAAATTTTAGAAACTTTCTTGAAGCACAATTAAAAAACAAACAGTCCACGTGTAAAGATTGGAGCAAAATTGTGGCCATCCCTTCTCCGCGAAACTGCATAAAATTAAAACTAGATGCATGATAGAAAAAAAAAAGAAAACAAGGAAACAACTTATTTAACCATTTTCCTTCCTTTTTTAGATTTGTTGGAGAATACATTGAAAACCAGGCCCCAGCTCTTTCAGTTCATTCTTGACATTTTGTCAAACCCTTATATGTCTACAATCATGTCCTGGGTGGGGACTGACGGGCAGTTCGTTATCATACGCCCCGACCACGTGGCACAGCTTTGGGGTGAAAGGAATGGCCGAAGAAACATGACCTACCAGAAATTTAGTCGGGCACTGCGTTATTACTACCATAAGAAGGTTTTGACCAAGATTAGAGGTCAAAAATACACGTACAAGTTCAACTTTCAAGAGCTTGAACGACGGTATGGATACACAGATATATTGCCTCTCGCCACAAGCGAATCTCGTGGAAATGGCGGCAGAATGATTTCCCCCTCTGGTGCCCGAATTTGTGATGTATTGCCCGCAAGTTCTCACGTAATGAAGTTCGCATCTCACGAAATCCCTGATACGCCTTTTGAACCCTTTGTTTATTCACACTGTTTCCCTTTCGTCTTTGATTTTAATCAAGACTGAACTCACAGTGCTGACGCTCAAACCAGGACACTTGGAAGAAGCTTGTCCGATCACAACGTTTCAATTTTTTCTTTTTTTTTTTTTTTCAAACGGACCAATGATATAAGTGAATTTGATTTCTCCGAGTTCCTGAGGGTTTAGGTAAGTTCAACGGGTTTTAAAGTTTACAACGGTTGCATAGTTGAACCTGGAATTTTATTGGCCCGTTTGCAAAAAAAAATTGAGAATCTTTTGTTCTTAGAAAACTTGGTGATTGAACAAACTTCTAGCAAGTGTCGCGGTTTGAGTGTCCACACCCTAATAGTCATGAGTATTTCAACTTATACAGCAGCATTTGACATTCAGGTTATGCGTAGTAGAGTCTTATTAACTTGCCAGCCGTAGAAACTCTACATATAGATAGCTGCTGAAGTTTGTCATAAAACAGTAGTAACTCTTTCTAGGAATTACATTGTAATTAAGAAACGTTACATGATTATACATGACTACAGTGGTCATATATGTAAGTAATGTATTATATACATGTATGTATGTAAACAACGCAAGTAAATAAAAGATGAACCAAAACAGGGAACATTTTTCAAGTTTTTTTTTACTTTTAACATATCCGAAGAACTGGTAGTCGTGCAACAGTGATTTTATTTTTGTTTACTGACGTCATTAACGTCCATCATTTAAATAAGATCTTTTCAAGCCCTTGATGAATCAGGTAATTTTGCCGGGTACCCTAATCGCTTTGCCGTTTAAGCTAAATCCGAAAGTGTGAATACTTGGATACTTTGTAGCGGGAGGAATGTTCTCAGATTTAAGA